CAAAAGTATACAAAATATTTGTTTATTTAAGATAAGTATATAAGATTATTAATATATATATATATTAAACGTTAAGATCTATTCTAATAGGCGAATGTAAAGTGTTTAAATTTAGTATAATTCAACTTATATTAGTCGCTTCGATCTAGCCTAGTAAACATATATATATGTTTATTAGTCTAGAAATAAGCGTCTAGAATTATAATAATTTATACCCTTAAATTCGTTTATTGAATTAGATCTTAACGTTTATTTAGACTAAATCTAAACGCTTCATATACGTTTATTAGACTATATCTAAACGCATTATATATGTATAATATACGCTTTATATACCTTTATTAACCCTATAATAGACGTCGAAAATACGTTGGAATCTAAACGTTTTATGGAGGTTTGGTCTAAACGTTAATCTGGATTTCATTCTGAACGTATAATCGACCAAATCTAAACGGTTATCTAAACGTTGTTTCGACGTCTAATAAACGTTTGTGTGTTTGCTGGGATAGTAATTTATTTATTTATTTCAAATAGTTAGTAAGAATTAGATGTACAATTGTAAACAGTGTGATTTTGCTCTACCTACTATTAATGCGTACATTAATAACTGTCGTTTACATTCTATGGAACCAAGATTCAGGGTTGCATGCTGTGTTTATGGATGTTTTCAAAGCTTTTCTACTTTTTGGAATTTAAAAAAACTACCGCAATCATGGTCAAAATAAGTTTAATGCAAGATTAACTTTTTTAAATAATAAAGTTATTTCATTGTCCTGCCAAGTTCCTATGTGTGGTGCGAAATGCAAGGATCAGACTGCATTGTTTATTCATTTAAAATACCATATTAGGGATGGTACAGCAATTCAATGCCCATATGTTGGTTGCAAAGCAAAATTTAAAATTTTTTCATTTTTTACTAGCCATAAATCTAGGAAGCATATGAATCCTTTTGCTACAAATATAAGTGAGTTGTTTGTGGGAAATAATAAAGACATAAATGTATCCATTGAAGATTTGCTATTTGTACCTGAGATTGTTGACACTGAAGATAGTCAAAAAGAAATTGTTGGAAATAATGTACATTTTCAAGCAGAGTCTTTTACAAGAGCCTTAGCTTTATTTTATCTTCAGTTACAAACTAAATTATTTTTATCAGTGTCTACAATTGATAAAATAGCAAAAGAAATACAAAATATCAATTACATGAACATTAGTCATATATTAACATCAATTGCAGACAGGATGCACATTTTTGGAGCAAGTGCTGATCAAATCAAAGAAACCATAGCTTTAGTGCATAATAATAATCTGCACAATACGTGTCATGGTGAAAATGGTCTTCTTCGTTCGAAGCATACTCGTCAAATATTTTTTAAAGCCAATTTTCCTTATATAGCACCTAAGATAATCAAACTTGGGCGAAACCTACTAAACAAGATATCTTATTACAGCTATGTATCAGTTGTAGATGTTCTTAACAAACTTTTATTAGATAAATCATTTTTACTGCAAATTGAAAATAGTAGTCCATCTGTGAAAGGAGTTTACTCAGATTTTACAGATGGTAGAGTTTTTCAAAAAGTACGGAATGTTTAGAATATACAACATAATCCCATTAGTTTAATACTTTTCCAATATGCTTTTGAAGTTGTTAATCCTTTAGGCTCTGCTAAATCTAAACATTAACTTTTAGGTGTTTATTTGATGCTTGGAAATTTTAATGTGCAACACAGGTCAAAAACAGATCAACTAGAATTGGTGATGTTAATTAAGGAGATTTCAAGTTGTTTGGACAAAAAAAGATATTTGATCCTTTAATAAAGGATCTTGTTTATCTTGAGAAAAATGGTGTCATCATAAACAATGTTCAAGTACCAACTATTTTGTTTTCCATTGTTGGTGACAATTTGGGAAGTCACACCATTGGTGGTTTTGTTGCAAATTTTAGCACAGGAAAATTTTTTTGTCGTTATTGTACATTAGATAGACAAGCTTTTGATGAAGGAAAATTTTGTGCTCAAAGTGAGTTGTATCGCACTTCTTTATCATACCAAGATTCTGTCAGTATGCTCAGTGATGAAGATGTGTCTGTAGAGGGTGTAAAGTTTAACTCTGTCTTTAATGTTTTAAAATACTATAATGTATGTAATCCTGGTTTACCTCCATCCCTTGGACATGATCTTTTCGAAGGTATTGTTAAGTTTGATTTGCCAATATTTTTGACATACTTCATTAAGAAAAAGAAATGGTATAAATGGGATTGTTTGAACAAAGCAATTCAAAACTTTCATTATCTTAATTCTGATTGTGATGTTAAACCTTGCCCACTGAAGCCAATCAGTAACCATAAGTTGTGTGGCTCTGCTTGTCAGAACTGGTGTTTTTTACGGCTTCTCCCACTTCTAGATGGACAGTTTATAAATGACAGAGCAGACAAAGTATGGGAACTAGTTATTCTTTTAAGACTGATTGTTCAACATGTGACGGCTCCAAAAATTAGTGAAGGACAAATTTGCTACCTCAAATGTTTAATTGAACGTTATTTGGCTCTAAGACATAGTATTTTCCCAGATATAGCTTTACGCCCTAAGCATCACTATCTTGCACACTATCCTGACCTTATCATACAGTTTGGCCCACTTATAAGACTTTGGACATTAAGATTTGGACAAAAGCATCAGTTTTTCAAGCGTGCTATTTGTCACAGTCCAAACTTCATCAACATTACATCAACACTTAGTAAAAAGCATCAACTTTTACAAGCATGCAATTCTTCCATTACTCTTTTTTCCAATGAAGTTATAGTACACAAATCCCATCCTCTTTTATTTTCTACATACTCAAATAGCATTGGTGATGCAACTCATAACTGTGGTTTGCACAAATATTCTCAGGTTTCAGTGAAGATCGAAATTAAAGGCACCTTATACAAATCTGGTATGATTGTAGTTTTAAGCGAATGCGAATTGAGTGTTGTTGAGGTTGGTGTCATTGTGCTCGTACTTGTCGATAATAACCAGCTTCCTCATTTTTTAGTTCAAAAAAAAGAAGCGCATTATTTGTCTGAGCTTGGTGTCTTCCAGATTTTAGAAGATTCTCTAACTGAGCATTTATGCATAGCATCAGAAAGCTTATACGACAATTATCCGCTTTCAGTTTATATAGTGAACAACGCAAGTTTTTTTGTTTTAAAACATCAGCTATTTGATAAGTAGTAGAAAAAGCTGGTAATTTTTGAGACTTTTATTGTTAAATTATTTTACATACTTTAATGTTTGTTTTTTTCTATTTTATTGAAACAGTACTTAGCAACAAAAAAAATTTTGAGCTTATTCAAACTCCAACCCTCCCATTAATTAGGCTCTCCTCCATCCCCCTCTACCTCTTAATTAGATTTTAGATAAATTTCTGATCCTCTTGTTTATAAAGACTACCCCGTTTATTTTATTTTTGTTTGCTTGCTTCTTGAATTACATTCTTTTAATTTTATGTTTGTTATATGATCGTTATTATATATTTTCTATCAATTATATTGATAATTTCTGATAATTAATTTTTTTCATATTTGTTATTAAAGATATTATAACATGTATATATTTACATATATAAATTATGCTATAATATTTTTAAAAATAAAGTGCTTATTGTTATTATTATTGAATAAATTGCTCAGTTTTCAATATTATTGAAATAAGGTGGTCAAATTTGGGATTTAAAGAAATATATATATAATTTTGATTTACCATGGTCTATTCCAGATTCCTACTAGTAATTGACTGGGGTTGATATTTGACCGGGCCGGGTTCGATAAAACATAGCCAGGGATAAAACATCATCTCATCATCATCATCATCATTATCATCGTTATCATCATTATTATCATCATCAAGCATACAGTTGATGATGACGATTTAAATGATGATAATGATGATCATTGTCATCATCATCGTCATCATCATCATCTTAATCATTGTCATCATTATCATCTTCTCTGGTACACACTATAAACATAAGTACTACTCTCAAACTCTCTCCAAGATCATTGCTTCTTTTTCTATCTTTTAAAAACACCATATATCCATCTGATCTATTTTGTTCTTTCCAGATAATGAACATCATAAACTTTAATTCCCAATGTCAATCCCATATAGCACTCTGGATGATTCTTATATGAACCCATTTTTTACAAACTCTACAAAAAATGTTTGATCAATCTCCTTTTTACAAAAGTTCAGTTTTTAATATAAAGTTTTGACTTATAAAAAAGAAAATAAACAAATAATGATTAAGGGTTTGTACCTTGTAGGTACAAAGTACAAGTACTTGTATTTCATTTCCCCTGATTTCCCAGGTTGCTGGCCAATGGTCAGCAACCTGGATATTCTAAAAAAGTAAGTAGCGACTATTTAATAAATTGTTTATTTAAAATTTTTAAACAAAATTAATAATTTAAAGGAGTATATAAAATTGCTAACAATCAGTGAATTTTAAAATATCCTAAAATAAATGTCATAGAAGAAATTGATTGTAAAGTTGCATTTACATTTAAAATGTAAGTAACTTTTACATAGTTGAACTATTGATAGAATTAATAAATACTAGAAAATAATTAAATTTATTTTTGTTAAAACTATTTAAAAAAATTTAACTTAAAATATTGGGAAAAAAAATTAATAATAAAATAATAGTATTAATTTAATAACATTTTAATTGATGGTTTAATTGCATTTAATAACTGTGTCTGACTTTTAAAGTCTGATTTTTCAAATGTTTGGCATTGCATAAACATTGGCATTTATATAATATGTCTAGAAAAAAGCTTTTAAAATTAGTATTTTAAAACTTTTGTTCAACAGGAAGTCAATTTGTCTAACTTCCTTATTATTGACTAGTAATACAGAGTATTCATTAAAAAAAAGGCAATTGTCTGTAAAGATTTCCAATATTGTTAGTTTAATACTGTTATTATAACAACATTATGTTGTTATAATAAGTAAATGTGTCTGGCTTACTTTTTTTTGATTGGTATAAAAAGAGCAACTTTATCATCCATATTTTATTGAAGCCATCTGCAAAAAGTTTAAGGTCTATACTTTTTTTTTTCAATAAATTTAATCTTTATTTATTAAAGTTATTAACAAATGTAATAATAATAGTAATATTACTTATATAAAAAGGAAATTAATTAATTAACTATGAAATCTATGTCTTTTTCATATGTCTTAGTCATTTTTTGTTTTTTTATTAATTAGTTTTTATTCTTAATTAATAAAATCTTGTTTTTGTATTGAGCTATGATAAAACTTATTTGTTATGTATACATAATATGTATGTAGTATATATAGTATAAAATTGCTATATATAGATACATATTATTAATCATAAAATGGCATTGTGTGATAAAGATTCTATGAAGAAGGCAATAATGTTTATTCTCCCAAGCTTATCTAGTGAAACATTAGAACTTATTATAAACCGATTAATCGATGATGTAGGTGTACAAAATATTGGTGATTTTGTGTTTGTTACTGAAGAAGACTTTGGTACATTTTTAAAGCCTATTCAAATAAGGAAGCTTCTTGCAGCATGGAAAGAAGGTATATATTAAATAAAATAGTATTAGATGTATTTTTATATTTACTTTTAAAAAAGCTCTGTTAGTTATTGATGTTTATAATTATTCAATTAATTATTTATTTGTATTTATAATTTATTGTATGTAATTCATTTTGATTGTAACTTTTAGAAAAAAATCCTACTATTGCAAGTTTTCCTCAGATTCATGCTTTGGTTCCGGTTTCAATCCAACCTACAATTACAAATGTTCCTACATCTGAATCTTCCAGTGTTATTATAGACAATTGGGCTGATATTTTTAAAGTTCCCTGGGAAAAGCTGCCAGCTGTAATCATGGATTTACTCCACAAAAATGCTCCTCTTTTGCCAAAACAGAAAAGTACAATGATCAGGGTCATTTGTGACCATATTATAAAAATTACAAGAAAACCAGGTCGTAAAAATTTGGAGAAAATTGCATTTCAAATAGTTAAAAAATATCCCATTTCTCTTGAGGATAAGTTTGAAAACCAGAGAGTAGGAACGGGAAGCAGCTTTATTGTGAAAAAACTAGAGGCTCGTGTTAAAAATGTTAATAGGCTACAAGCTCCAAATCCATTAAAACGAAACTTTGCTGCTGAAAGTTATGCAATGGATAAAGAACCAAAAAAAGCAAAAGTCAAGCCAAAAGATTCTTATGGATGCGTTGATTGGCTGCCAAGACTTGATGGAAATGAAAATGAAAAAAGTCAGGACAAGCATATTGGGTGGCTGCAAGATCATCACAATTTGCCCTCTTCATTGTGGAATGTTTATGAAATAGAAACGCTACATTATTTAACTTATCCTTCACAGCGTGCTGATATAGTCGGATTAAATGCACTGAAAATAGTATCGTTATTGGCTAAATGGCCATTTTTATTTAAAGCCAATTGGTTTTTACATCATTTTAAAACATTGACTGGTGTTGACATAGCTTTTATATTTGAAGAAAATCTTAAAATTAAATCTACCATAATTGTCAAATTTTAATATTTTTTCCATTGATTTTTTAAATTTTATCTTCCTTGATTGAAAAAGTTAATACAGTTTAATATATTTTGTGCATATTTTATCAGTAATATATTTATGTGATGTTTTAATACTTGTAGGAGCATGCAAATGTTGATGATATTGAAAAGGACATTACTCTTCCACTTTCTCCTTGTATTGTTTTTGCTGGTAACATATCATTTTTGCTACTAATTGTTTAATAAATTTATTGAATTTATTTATAGATTTAGATTTTGTTTTCTTAATGTTAGGAAATTCCACACTGCTATGCCTGTTTTTCTAAAAAAAAAATTGAGAATTTTTGAATTTTTTTTGCCCATATAGGAACTTGCATATTCAAGTGTAATAGTTTTTACTTGGTTGTTGATCGGCATGTTATTATAGATAATCTTGCAAATCCTCTTTTGACATTGGTTGTTCTTTTTGCTGCATATTATGTGTTAAATGTTGGCTATCCAGTAGAGATTGCTGCAACCCTTGAGTTTTTGCAGAGGTAAGTCATAAGATAATGTTTATTGACACTTGTTTATACAAATCTTTTTCATTACCTAACTTGCATTGTATTCTCTAACTATATCTACTTCTACCCTTCCCTTTTCTTCTAAATCACTGCATCCTGATAATCTACTGTATGCTCTACATGTTCGCTTCGCATACAATTTTTAAATATTTTTAAAATTACTTTCTTTTTCTTTTTTTTACTGTAAATAATGATTTATTAATCTTATCTAATTATTATGTAGATGTATCGTAAAAATGAACCCTGAAAAAGGAAACAAAATCGAAAAGAACATTGGTAAAAAACAGTATGTCGGACCTCACCCTAAAGTTATAAGTTTTGTTAACGAACTGGGGCTGTTTGAATGGACAGAGCAGCAATAGACGAAAATACGCTTTATTTTTATTTATTATAACTAATAAAATATATTTTCATATATATTTGTTATGTCTGTATTATAAATTGTCATAATATAATATTATTTCTTATTATATAATATTATTTCTTATTATATAATATTATTTCTTATTATATAATATTATTTCTTATTATATATATATATATATATATATATATATATATATATATATATATATATATATATATATATATATATATATATATATATATATATATATATATATATATATATATATATATATATATATATATATATACCCTAGTAGCAAACAATATTGGCATAATATTAGGGCAATATTGTTTACAATATTGGCGCAATATTGTAAACTATATCAGGCCAATTTTACAATGTCAATATTATGCCAATATTGGCCAATATTGGCGCTACAATATTGCGCCAACATTGTAAAATCAAAATATTGACCAATATTGGCGATACAATACTGTAAAGTCAATATTGTCCAATATTGGCAAAATGTTCACACTGCAACATTGGCCCGATATAGTGTATAATATTGCGCCAATAATGTAAATAATATCGCGCTAATAATGGGGATATTATACTGGCCAATATTGGCCTAATATAGTTTACTATATTATTCTAATATATATAATATATATAACTAAATTAAGGCAATATATTGAGTATTTTTGATTAAATTTTTATTATTAAAAATTAATAAAAAATATTGCGTTCTACAAATTAGTAATGATTAAAATTACTAACAATTTTCTTGTTTAAGTGATACTATAGGCTGCATTATTCTTTTGAGTTAAACATGTTATCGGGTGGACACGGAAAAATTCGGTCAACTTTAAATTGTGATTTCTATAAAGCCAAATGCTTTTTATTTCAATTTTTTTATTATTAAATGTGTTTATATAAATTAGAGTTTCAACTTAATTTTAAGGGGCTTGATGGATTGCTTGGCAAGAAATCGAACTTTATAGCGGGTTGATGCCATCATTTTACAGATTTTTTCTTTAATCACCGTATTGGTGGCATTAATCCACTTTTTTTGGAAGCCCTATTTATTATTTGTTAGTCCACCTATCTTTCGAAGAATTCCTTTAACTATTGTCTAAAAATCTTTAATCTTGCGCTCTTCAGGACGATTTGGAGGATTTGCATCTTTAGGAACAATTTTCACATTATTATCTTCGCACCACGGAAAAACTTTTTTAGAATAGTGAGAGGCAGCAAGATCGGGCCAAAAGAAACATACTTAATATATATAGTATATCATATACTCAATTAACTATTTCTTTCAATATCTGTATCAATTCTGTATAAATATTAACACTATTCATAAGTAATTTTATATATATTTATATATATATATATATATATATATATATATATATATATATATATATATATTATATATATATATATATATATATATATATATATATATATATATATATATATATATATATATATATATGTATGTATATATATATATATATATATATATATATATATATATATATATATATATATATATATATATATGTATATATATATATATGTATATATATATATATATATATATATATATATATATATATATATATATATATGTATATATATATATATATATATATATATATATATATATATATATATATATATATATATATATATATATATATATATATATGTATGTATGTATATATTTAATAACTTATGAATCGTGTTAATATTGATACAGAATTGATACAGATATTGAATGAAATAGTTAACTGAGTATATGATATACTATATATATTATATACTTGTTTCTTGATATACTGGGGTGGGACCGCAAAATGTGAACGTTTTTGTTTTATTATAACTATTTTCTCGTTAGATGTAGTTGAGTTTATTTGATAAAAAACGAAAGACAAAGTACTAATGAATATGTAAACAAAGTAAAATATAATATGTAAAAAAACAAAAATTGAACATTTAAAATAGTTCATATTTAACAGAAAATTAATTATTACAATCAGAAAAGTGTTCACATTTTGCGGTCCCACCCCTGTAGTATATCAAGTATAATACTTGATATGCTATATCAAGAACCATGTTTTTATTATTTAAAAATTTTTGACATCGCAGAATTTCATGCAGAATCATTTTTTTTAAAAAGATAACGTTATAGTGATACAGAAAGTTTATCCTGATTATTTACTAGAATTCAATATCTTTAATTGACAATTTTTAGATTGTGCTATTCAAAATAATCGAACCAGTATATTAGTTAATAATTTTCTTAAAATAATAAAAATCCAAGGTTTGAAACTTTGAGAGGATGCAAAATAAATTTTTGAAAACGCCTAGAGGTATAACTAAGTTATACCTAGAGGTGTTTTTAAAACTTTCTCTGCATCTTCGAGATAAACAGTTATAACTGTTCCTAAAAAGTGTGGTAACAATTACTCTTATTTTGAAATACAGGCAAGCATTTAGAACATATTTTTTTGAATTTGATTATTAATGGTTTACCATGATTTAAATTCTCAAGTAAACAATTGTGGCCAATATTAGCTTGCTTTGATTATTTTAATATTTTTATAGTTGGCATTTATTGAAGTAAAACCAAGCCCAATTCACTAACTAAATACCAACTTTTTTTTTTTGAGTCAAGTCAATAACACAAAATGATTTTCTATGCAATAAAAAATATAAATAAAAACTATATAAAATCTTATAATGGTTACAACTTTTGTGAAATATGTTCCATTTATGAATCTTATGAAGGAATAATTGTGTTTAATAAGGAAATTTTTTACACTCCTATCTCTTATATAAGGCAACTGTTACGACTGGTTTAGTTTTTTAAATTAAATTCATTTGAATCATTTCCAAAAAAAAAATCACACAAAAAAATAAAGGCTTTAGTTTAGAACTTTCAAAATCTGCTTTAAATAATCTTTTGAAGATGTAATTAATTTCGCTATTTTATTTTTTGTTTTTTAAAAATTCCAAATAATTAATTAAAATGAAAATCAATATTTATATTTATTATTTGATAAAATTTATTTTTTAGTAACTTATCCAACTTCAAATTATAATTACAAAAATGTATTTAAAGATAGAAAAGAGTTGATATTTTTTTCTATATAAATGAATTTTTGATTATTTGCTTCATATACTTAATGGACCATTAGTGGCAGCAGCCAAAAGTGGATAACACAAGTAACCACTATATCACTTGTTGGAATGTTATCGGCTGGCCACTTAAGTAATTTACTAAGAAAACGATGAGTTAAACTCCATTTAACTGCTCAGAATGCCTTTATAGATCCACTGCAAATCTACTACAACAATATTTGCTGATAAAGTTTCAATATGTAATTATTTGATTATTGTCGTTTATATCCAGGGTTCCCAATCCTCCTTAAAAACCTTAAATATGTTTGGGAAAATAAACATCCTTAAAAACCCTTAAATAATCTTTAAAATTTGACTACTCTCCTTAATTTACTTTTCTATAAATTTTTGCTTTATTTATTAAAAATGTATTTATAAACATATACAATATATATGTATTGGTCATAAAAACTTCTATTATGTATGTAACTCTTGATTTTTTGAGTTTATTTTTATACAATTTTTCAAGGGAGTTGTCAAGTATATAGTATATATAAGTATATATATGTGTATATATATATATTTATATATATATATATATATATATATATATATATATATATATATATATATATATATACATATATACATATATATATATATATATATATATATATATATATATATATATATATATATATATATATATATATATATATATATATATATATACATATATATATATATATATATATATATATATATATATATATATATATATATATATATATATATATATATATATATATATATATATATATATATATATATATATATATATATATATATATATATATATATATATATAGTATATATAATATATATAAGAATGGTATAGTATAATTAGTTTATTTTATGTAATATGGTTAATGAATTTTTATAAGTAACAACTTCATTAATTCATTCTAATCCTTCGAATTGGATAGTCAGTGATTCATAATTATGCTTTGATAAAGTCAATGATAAATCAATGAAGTTATTTTAATTATTTAGGTTCTTTTCTTTATAAACTTATTTGTTTAATACTCCACAATACTCAAAATGGCTACCTAGTCAGTTCAGCAAGAAAAAGATCATTTAAGATTTATCTTTCGAAAGATCGAAGGATGAGGTTATTACAATTATATATATATATATATATATATATATATATATATATATATATATATATATATATATATATATATACATATATATATATATATATATATATATATATATATATATATATATATATATATATATATATATATATATATATATATATATATATATATATATTAGGGTGTCCCAAAAAAAAAAAAAAAAGCTCTCTACTGATTCCCATTCTATGTGACCTAAATAAGTACTAAAAAAATTTGACGGTTTTATTTTGACAGGAAGTGCTAGATGCAAAATCTGAGTTTTACTGTTTTAATGTTAAGCTAGCTTAACATTAATAGAAAACACATTTTAGAAAATTAAAACAAAACAATTAGATGGGTATAAATAATTTCCAATTGTTTTCTACTATTTAACTTGATAGATTATATTTATAAATATGAAAATACAAAAAAAAATACATGAAAACTAATATTTATTAGCAAATTTAAGATTTTATTTGGGTGAAACATTTCTCAAAAAATACAACTTTTTGAACAGTTCCCAAGCTCCTTTTTAGTCATAGTCTTAGTCAAGTTTTTTCTAGACTTTTTAAGTACAAAAAGTACATTTTGAAGGTGATCTTCATCTCTAGTAGCTGAAATAAAATCTTTAATGAGCTTAATGTTTCTTTCTGCACCATTATTTACAACAGTTATGTTTTTGATCCATGCTATAAAATCTAGCTACTGA